GTGAAAATTAAAAGAACTCTTCCTCGGTTTTCAATGAAATATACTTACGATTAGTACTGGTTTCGATAATTATTTATCATCATCAGCTAAATCTACAAGCGAAAAGTATGATTAAGAATATTTAAAATTAAATAAAATAAATGTAAATAGATGTAAATTCGTTGACGGTGTTAAGGCAAATTTATGACCTTTGTTCAGTAAGTTGATTTCATTATTATTGAAATGTATATTGGTTAAATTAGTAATATATTATAATTTTAATTTATTATCTTCATCTATTAAACCAATTTTTCAAAAAAAAAAGTAGTAGTGTAGATGTAATGGAATACAAGACATAAAATGATTATGAAATTTACGTAATATCGATGCGTGCAATTCGGAGGTGCATTGCACCTACGAATTGAGGATATTCGATAAAAATGTTGAACATGCAAATTAGTTTATATTTAATTCAAATAATATTAAGTTTTAAAACTTTAGTCTAGTATATGTAATCGTAGAAAAATGAATAAAATAAATGTTATAACGAAACATCTTTCAATTTTATCACCATCTAATATTCAATCTATTCAAATAACCATCAACGGTGATCACAATTCGTTATTTCTGGTTTTCGACCGAACGAAAAATGGTTCTATATTTTGCTTTTCAACCGTTTTTACAATAACGTTGCAAAGATAACCTGTAACGGTTAAATTTTTAAATTATTTATATTCAATTTTAATATGTGATGTAGTGTCTATTATACAAGTTTTACGTAAACGTATTATTTTATTGAGTCCGTTTGGTAATTATACGACATGTTTATAACATATTTTTCTTTAACCGTCAATTTCAACACTATAAGGAGTAAGTAACCTTGCAATTAATTTTTTATTAAACTTTATTATATCGTCAATGTTAATTTGTAGTGCTTTTGAAGATGAAAAGCTAATTTTTATTAATAAACTAGTAGCAAGTACAAAATTCAGTTTATTAATAAATTTATCTACTATCGTTTGTAAATTCGTCATTTTGAACANTTCCGCATCAAAAAAAATAGTCGCTGTACGGTAGCTGAACGGTAGCTCGCTGGCTGCTGAAACTCACTCGGGACGGTCGGCCTTGTTTACAGTAACACACTGATTACTGATACTTCTTCGTATTTTACTTCGTTGCGGTGTTATTTAATTATTTTAAATAATAATTTTCAGAAACCATGTGCTTTCGGTAATTACGTCGTTCGGCGATTTCCACTAATTGCTTTTGTTCATTTGAAATTCGGTCAGGAAACATTTTCGGAAGAAGGTTTAACGGTTTTAAATGAATTAATATGAAAATTTGAAGTTTAATTAAGGAAATTAAGAAATTAATGAAAATGCGAATAAAATTGCATAAGTGGGTGGTGATAAGGTATCAATTTTTGGATTTTTCTAAATCGGGCGGAAACTGTAGGAGGTCGGGGTAATGTGGGAAGTATATTTGGATGTTATAAATTTGTCGGAAAAAAAAATGTAACTTCGTTACACATGTAACGGTTAAATTTTTAAATTATTTATATTCAATTTTAATATGTGATGTAGTGTCTATTATACAAGTTTTACGTAAACGTATTATTTTATTGNATTTGAATTTGACATTGCGCTTTTATGTAGAAGGTACCGAGTTCAAATCCAGCTCTTTTTTCACATTTTTTTTAAATTGACAACAGTTAGCGACAGGTAAAACGCTTTTTGTAATTCGCAACGGTAAAGGAAAGCTATTACAGTACTCAAACTGGTGCTGTAATGAGACTCTTTATAGCATCCGATGCTGTAATGAGATTTTAGTAACATTTTATGGAACCAGTTCAAGTTGGTGACATTGGGTCATTTCCTGAAATTTCTTTCATCTTCTTCTCTTCGCACCACGCCTTAAATTCAGCGTACTGTTGTTCATACCTTTCATGGGACTTCTCTGGAAGTAGAGTTTTAATAGAACTCTGAGCAATTTCTCTTATTTCGGGAGGTGTACATGAAATTTCTTTCAGATGAATACATTTTGTGTTTTGACAATATCTAATTGTCAATTCAAATTTCTATTTTCAAGTGTTATAAAAAATAGCATAAAAATAGTATATTGTTTTATATGGAAGAGAAGCAGTGCTTTTTATGGCGTGGTCTGTCGCTTAGCGACGAACGCAGTGAGTCGCTAATGACAGATGAGCCGTTAAAATTGTGGCGTGTCCGACAGTTTGCCGGACGAACGAAGTGAGTCCGGCAATGACGGACCAGCCACAAACGAATCTGCTTCTCTTCCGAATAAAACATAGTATTTTTTCTTCAAACGTTGCAAATAATACGGCGCTAAAGTGAAATGTTCTTCAACGTTATGGCGCTAAAGTGAAATTTACTTTAGCGCCATAACGCTGAAGTACTTTTTTGCTATGTTGATCTTAGCAACCGTCGTTATGCAACAATGACTTACTTCTACCGCGAGTAAACACGACAACAAAGTTGTCATTTAATGACGTTTGAAGAAAAAAATAATTTGCAACTTTTTCCTTAAAAGATACTTAAAAGTCAAAGTCGTTATACAAATTAGTTGCTAGGCAGTCACAAAGATGTTTATTTGTCAACAATATTTTATTTTTTTTAAATTCGTTAATTTGTAAAATGAGTGACGTTAATCTACCTAAACTAACTAATCCATCACACTTTTTCGGGTTGTTCTAATTGCATTATATTATTAAAAGTAGCATTAGGTTTCTGTTCCATTGTTACTTAAAATTTTCATAATTAAGGTTTATTAAATATGTAGCTTCTTTTCTTGTATTGTAAAAATATAACATTACCAAAGAACATTACCAATATGTCATTTTTACATTCCTAATACAGTTATAAGTTATAAGGTACATTACAAACCAACTTTTGTGAATGTTAAGAACCTTCTTACAGCCTGAAACCGGTAATAGCTATTAACATACCGAGAAATGTTATGACATTTATTACAGCCGCAGATGTCAGATTGTAAATGTCAAAGTCGTTATACAAGTTAGTTGCTAGGCAGTCACAAAGATGTTTATTTGTCAACAAATATTTTATTTTTTTTAAATTCATTAATTTGTAAAATGAGTGACGTTAATTTACCTAAACTAACTAATGCATCACACTTTTTCGGGTTGTTTTAATTGCATGGTGAACATAAATAATTACTATTATTAAAAATAGCATTAGGTTTCTGTTCCATTGTTACTTAAAATTTTCATAATTAAGGTTTATTAAATATGTNGCACTTCAACACAAAGTAGCTTCAGCGGTTGGGCGGTGTCCGGGGCAATCCTATACGGGTAGTATTTTCCATGGATGACCATCAGGAATGAAGTAAATTAATTAATTAAGATGCGGGATGATTTTGGTTAATAATCATGTTAATCATAATCGGATCGTCTTTAGAATCATTCAACGGTTATTTCATGATACTAGTAATTGTTTGAAATCGGTTTGATTGTTCTACGATTTCTAATTCCGCATCATAAAAAAAATAGTCGCTGTACGGTAGCTGAACGGTAGCTCGCTGGCTGCTGAAACTCACACGGGACGGTCGGCCTTGTTTACAGTAACACCCTGATTACTGATTACTGATACTTCTTCGTATTTTACTTCGTTGCGGTGTTATTTAATTATTTTAAATAACAATTTTCAGAAACCATGTGCTTTCGGTAATTACGTCGTTTGGCGATTTCCACTAATTGCTTTTGTTTATTTGAAATTCGGTCAGGAAACGTTTTCAGAAAAAGGTTTAACGGTTTTAAATGAATTAATATGAAAATTTGAAGTTTAATTAAGGAAATTAAGAAATTAAGGAAAATGCGAATAAAGTTGCATAAGTGGGTGGTGATAAGGTATCAATTTTTGGATTTTTCTAAATCGGGCGGAAACTGTAGGAGGTCGGGGTAATGTGGGAAGTATATTTGGATGTTATAAATTTGTCGGAAAAAAAAATGTAACTTCGTTACACATGTAACGGTTAAATTTTTAAATTATTTATATTCAATTTTAATATGTGATGTAGTGTCTATTATACAAGTTTTACGTAAACGTATTATTTTATTGAGTCCGTTTGGTAATTATACGACATGTTTATAACATATTTTTCTTTAACCGTCAATTTCAACACTATAAGGGGTACGTAACCTTGTAATTAATTTTTTATTAAACTTTATTATATCGTCAATGTTAATTTGTAGTGCTTCTGAAGATGAAAAGCTGACTTTTATTAATAAACCAAAGCAAGTACAAAATTCAGTTTATTAATAAATTTATCTACTATCGTTTGTAAATTCGTCATTTTGAACACACTTTTAATTCGTAAAGAACGTCATTATTGACAGCAGTGGGTGAAATTTGACAACAGGACGTAAAGTAACGGAAGTGTGTGTAAAGTAACGGAAGCGTGCGTAAAGTAGCAATGCATTTCAAATGAAACAATCAACTGTCAAATAGTATTTTGACAACATTTTTTAAAATTTACACTTGTTATTAATAATTTTTATTTTTTAATTGTAGGAATCCATGTTGCAAGCTTATTTATTATATATGTAAAGGTAAATATTTAATAAGAAACTTTTTACTTGCTTGTAAAAAAATTTATTATTATTGGAACCGGTTTCGACTAATATTAGTCATCATCAGCCAAATCGTCAGAAAAAGAAAATGTTAAAATTTAGAAAATGTAGAAGCATCACATGTGTTTAATAGTTAGTTATTTATATTACGAGTGGGATAAAAACATAATTACTGTACGAGTGTGGAGAATTACACGATGAAGTCGTAGACCGAGTCGTGTAATCACAAGAGTACTATAATTATGCTCTAGTCCACGTGTGATATACAACATTTTATCTACGACTGCTAAAAATTACTTAAAAATCAATTTCTTTAAAAAAGTCTATTTTGACATTTATAAAAATATTTTGAAATGATTGTTGACAATTTTCAATTAATGTCAGTTTCAATAACATGTTTACTCATCTGGAAAAAGTGTTTCGAAATGTAAAAACATAACAATTAATGTTTATAATAAATAGTACATATTGTTTCTCTTTAAATAGGTAGCAATTTTTCTTTTGTATTGTTGCTCGTTTCAATAAATTAAGTCTGTTCTGATTGGGCTAAAAATGCGTTACGTAATGAAATCAAAGCGGTAATGAACTTCATTACGTAACTTAAATCATATCAAATGAGTGCGGTAATGATGACTTATCCAAGTAGTCGTAGATAAGATATTGCATGAAACTTTGCGTGAAGTGCTTTTTGCACACTCACGCTATAAACATTGCGTTCGTGTGCAAACAGCTTCACACACTATTTCATAAATAACTAATTTTAAATTTCGTTCACATATTACTGTTATAATGGATTTTTTAATGAACATTAATTAAAATAAAATGAATACTATTTCATGTTCAATACATGTTTCTTCAGACTCATAACTATCTTCTTCGCACGCCTTTACCTTAAAAGTGAAAGTATCACGATTTTCCTCATCTAATTTCCCAACACTGATTTTCCCGTCATCGCGATGTATAGAAACTTTATTATTCCAATCTTCGATTGGGTCAAAATTGAGTTGGTAATAGATTTTAGTGTCGATTCCTATATCACCATCTCTTGCTTCTACTTGAAATTCCTAAACAATAATTAAATTAATTTATTAAATTTAATTTATTAATTTTAATTTTTTTACTTGTTCTAACGCTCCGTCAAATGTTTTCGAATGAAAGATTTTAACCCAAACCGGAGGTAAATTGGGAACATCAATGACAGGAACAACGATTCTTATAGGATCAGGTGAGTGAACCGTATCTTTTATTGATAGGTTTATTACGTAAAAAGAACCATCTTGGTAATCTAATTCTTTTCTTAATTTTAGTGTTATAGCCATTTCGTTATCTTTTAAATTATCTGGATAAATTAGCTCAAATTCGAAACGTTCCTTCAATAACAAAGATTAATTTTAAATTAAATCAATGATTTAATGACCTACGTCCGTTTCTTCACCGTTAATTAACCACGAGATTTGATCCATCTCCCTGTCATCATCGGTTATTAAATACTCACATCCAGTATCACAACATTCAGCTTCCTATTGTAATTAAAAAAAAAATTAATTCTTAATAAAAATCGTATTGATTCTAAACATACTCTAATAGAACATTGTAGATCATTGGATGTTAAAAACGGTACGTTATCGTCAATATTTTTGATTCTCAAGTTAACCTGTTTCTGCAACTCATCAACGTTATCCCAAATATCAAAAACAAACGATTTGTACTCGGATTCGTAATCTTGTCTTTTCGTGACTACCAGATTAAATATTTTTTCTACCCCACTTGCAATAATTTTCATCCCGGTAACTTCTGAATCTGATGCAGGAATGAATTGAATCTCTGGCGTGTTCGTTCCTTCATCCTGTATAATATAGGCGATAATAACATCTCCTTGGTTTTCTTCATCCATCAAGATAGTAACAGAACTTACCGAATCAACAAAATCGATATTCGGATCACCGGTTCCTACCAATTCCAGTTTAGCATCGATTATTGAAACTTTTAGAACGAGTAAATAAATTGTCCCGAAAATCAAAAATGATTTCATCATTTTAATATTATTATTGTATTGAAAAAATTCTTGTAATTAACCTCACAGATTCACATTCACTATGACAATGTTAAAATCATACTGAAGATTTAATAGTGTTTTTCGTCATATAGTAATGACTAAAACCTTTGATAGGCCGCTATCTATCAAGTATCGATAAATGCATCAGATGATATAAAAAAGTTGGTTTCAAACATGTGATGTGGAAATCGAAAAGGAACCAATTATCAAACATTATACAACAAGACGATCGAAAATACTCGATAATACGAGACGTATTGCCTGAAACACCACGAGACCGAAGGTCGAGTGATGTTTTTAAGGCAATATACTTTTTTAATAGTTTTAAATTGTGTGGATTGACTACCTTACTCTGTATCTTGGGGTTTTATGGGATAGTAGGGGTACGTTTTTGCAGCATCTTGACTACTTTAAAGACAAGATGCCAGTTTTTGTAGGACAGTTACGTCGATCCATGCGTGCGTGGGGGCTGAAAAGAAAGGTGATTTTTACCATGGAAGAACAAAGGGTTATGTCGGGGTGTAGACATGTGTATCAGTGGAGAAATCAAAGACTTATAACATATGCAAGGCGTCTGCCCCAAATACACGGCCTATCGCGAACGTTTCCTTAAGACTTAAACGATCTGCGAAGATTACTTAAATATCTTAAAGCCAATATCCCGGAGAATTGACAAATTGCTAAACAGGTGCTTTTCTATATGATGCTGCAGAACTGTAGAAGGAATTAGGAAGTGTATTTGAGAAAAAAATTGGAATTATCACTGTCTCAAATACAAGTTTGTCAGAAATACACAAACAGGCACTTACAAACTAAAATAAAATATAAATTGACGATAGAAGAGAAAGATAAAACATTCTTTTAGAATGTTTTACATATTCTTTGAAATGTAGGAGATGCAAGTGAGAAAGATCAAGATTTGTCAAGACTTTAGCGCAGCATTAGCATGGAAGTGGATGTAATATTACGACTGACAACTTCCTTCAGCAACATTCTTTTGCAGAAGAATTGCTCAAAAAAGAACTCACTTTGATTGGTATCATGCGGACGATCTATAAAGATATCTCAAAGCAATTACTAAACGTGAGAAAACAACCGTTGTATTCTCTGATAATTTATTTACTAAAGAAGTAACCTTTGTGTCTTACATTACAAAACCTAGAAAATTTATCTCCTTTCAACTTTATACCAGCAGCAGGAAATATCCTCTGAAGAAAATAATTTCAAGCCAGAAATAATATTGACATTCAATAAAACAAAAAGTGATGTTGACGTTTTAGATAAATTAGTGAGAGATTATTCATGTCAGAGAAGCACGAGTAGGTGGCCATTACGATTGTTTTACAATTTTAATGACATTGACAATTATTGAAAGACGGTTCGCCGAAAAACAAAACATCCTAAACTGAATATCGTTGTAACAATTATTCTAAATATTTGTGTTTAATCTGTTTTTTTAATAGTAAGATGGCAAATGCACTGGCACGATTACCTGTAAAATTTCATATCCAAATATTTTAAATATCAAAAATGCTCAAGATGTTGACTTAGATCATAATATTCTTTCAAAAAAGCTATTTACAAACAATTTTCAAAATCAACACCGCGTATATACATTCCTAAGGAATTACGATTCAAAATTTTTGAAAATTTTCATAACATGTCCCATCCAGGCGTCCGTACAACTCAAAATTTTTCTGGCCCAAAATGAATTAAAATATTTTTACATGGACAAGATGTATTAACTGCCAAAGAGTTAAAATATACAGAAATGCGAAACCTCCTTTGGGTAAATTCAATATCCCTGCTAGACGTTTCGAACATATTCGTATTGATACTTGGGTTGAGGTAAAACAAATACCCCGACCCACTAAAAACCCCTATCCTCGCCTTACTCCGGAAACTACCCAAAAGGCTTTACTTCGGAGAATATTAAAAAAAATATTTCCATATTTTAATGCTTAAAACAGCCTTTTTTCTTCTTCATTTTCTTTTTCATATCTTTCGTTTCTATTACATATCTAACATAATCACCTACTGCAGTCCACTTATCCTGACTATCTAGTATTGTAGTTATTACATTTTCCGGTGTAAGTGACATTCCAATTTTCCTATATGTTTCTTTTCTTTTCTCTGTCAATCTTCCACAATTAAAAAATGTATGTTCCACGTCATCAACTTTTGCACAGTATGGACATCTATCATTCTCAGCTTTTTTATGTTTATGAAGATGAGCTCTATAACAACCATCTTCACTTTATGCTCACTTAAAAGCTGAGTCCAAAAATAATTAACTTCACCCCATTTTCGTTTTGTCCATCTTGCCAGTATCTATAGTCCATCTTTAATACTATACAATATCCAAGATATGGATATGGACAATATCCATATCTTTACACCTTTTCCGAACTAATAAATCAACTGGTAGTGATCTCCGTATAACTAGAAGAGCCTCACTAGATATAGTCCTATAAGCACTAATAATTTTGTTTACCAATAGCCTTTGTAATCTTGTTAGTTTTTTTACATGCCGTTTAACCTTCATGGCGTCTCTCCAACTTCTACAGGCATAAAGTACTGGCGGCTATATCACCGATCCTATTACTCTCATAGGATCGGCATTAATGTGGCAAAATGTCCTGCCACATTAATTTCAATCTCTCCTCTATTTTTCCTACTTTTCATTAGTACACATTTCGTTTTCTCTTTAAACCCATAAACTCTAATTTATCCACAATTTTTTACCACCGTTTAAGCAACACGTAAGCAGGACAAGCGTCCTAAGCAGACTACCGTTTTACAAGGTGGTCTGCTTAGGAAGCTTGTCTGCAGAACTTGTTTACGGGCAATCCCTATCCATTACTTATTTCGCTAAGAAAATCTTTTTACCTCTACCAAAATTTTCGTTCATAAAAATCTGTATGAATGAGATTACGTGTTTATTGGAGAAGAAGGTATCAAGTCAACTTTAGCTCGTAGGTATGAAGGACCTTTTAATGTGGTAAAAAAGTTTCCCAAAACTTTCACCATTTTAAAAAATAATGAGCACCATTGTATTCATATCGACCGATTGAAACCAGCATTCATTTTAAAGAATATTAAGGGCCAAATTCATAAACGTCACTAAAGTGACACTCACCCTAAACTCACACTAAGTTGAGGTTAGGCACTAATTTTGGTATTCAAGAACAGNCGTCTCTCCAACTTCTACAGGCATAAAGTACTTGCGGCTATATCACCGATCCTATTACTCTCATAGGATCGGCATTAATGTGGCAAAATGTCCTGCCACATTAATTTCAATCTCTCCTCTATTTTTCCTACTTTTCATTAGTACACATTTCGTTTTCTCTGGGGCCAGCTTTAAACCCATAAACTCTAATTTATCCACAATTTTTTACCACCGTTTAAGCAACACGTAAGCAGGACAAGCATCCTAAGCAGACCACCGTTTTACAAGGTGGTCTGCTTAGGATGCTTGTCTGCAGAACTTGTTTACGGGCAATCCCTATTCATTACTTATTTCGCTAAGAAAATCTTTTTACCTCTACCAAAATTTTCGTTCATAAAAATCTGTATGAATGAGATTACGTGTTTATTGGAGAAGGTATCAAGTCAACTTTAGCTCGTAGGTATCAGGGACCTTTTAATGTAGTAAAAAAGTTTCCCAAAACTTTCACCATTTTAAAAAATAATCAGCACCATTGTATTCATATCGACCGATTGAAACCAGCATTCATTTTAAAGAATACTAAGGGCCAAATTCATAAACGTCACTAAAGTGACACTCACACTAAGTTGAGGTTAGGCACTAATTTTGGTATTCAAGAACAGTTAGGGACTAATTAGTGACTAACTTTTTTCTAACTATAGGTTAAAGATTTAGGGAAAAGTGAGTAAAATTTGAGTGCGCAATCGCGAGCACTAATCTAACCCTAACTGTCATTTTGCTGTTGTCTTAATTCGTTTTTTATAGATTTGCTATCATAAATTCCGAAGAAAGCAGTTGTGATTACTCGCGTTTATTAGATTATCATTGTTAGTTGTGTTGTTTTTATAAATTTGATTGTTAGTTATTAGTTACGATTATTATAGTTTTGATTATTACTTATTCTTTCGTTATAAATTCATTCTTTACATCTATCAAAATGGATAATAGAATAGAATTATTATTAGTAGAATTTATTGAACACGCTGAAGATGTTTTTTGCCATGATCGTGCACCAAGGTAAGTAAATAACATAATTTATATACACATAAATAGCTAATACACATCATAAATTCGTTATTAGAATAATTTTAAGAGATGTCGGAAATCCTTTGGAGTCCTACCGCCAAAAAGAGTTGATACAACGTTTTCGGTTTGGTCGTGACATAATCCAAAATATATTATTACCATTGGTTTACCCAAGAGACGTTGCTACAACAAATCGTGGCTTGCCAATTCCACCCATCATAAAACTTTGTACCGCTCTTCGGTTTTATGCAAGTGGAAGTTATCAGGTAATTATAAAAGACATCTTTTATAATTATAGTATAAAGGTAGAGGACAAGTTTAGCATATTATTACATCTTGTACTTACAGAGGATATGTGGGGATTTAGCGCACATCAGCCAGACATCCACTTGCCGAATAATAAATGAGGTGTCGGAATTACTGGCAAGAAATATTGGAAAATATGTGAATTTTCCAAGCAGTGAAGCCGAAAAAACCAACCTACGACGAACATTTTTCGAAATTGGAGGTTTTCCTGAAGTTGTAGGGTGTGTTGACGGGACTCACATAGAAATTAAAAGTCCGGGAGGTGCCAATGCCGAAATATTTAGAAACAGGAAGGGATTTATGTCTGGACCAACTTTGAAAATCTTTGATATTGTTAGAAGATGGCCTGGGTCTGCACACGATAGCAGGATATTTAATAGCAGCGCTGTGGCTATGAAATTTGAATCGAAGCTATTAACTGGAATATTGTTGGGCGACAGTGCCTACCAGCAAAATCAATTTTTATATTCTCCCATTTTAAATCCACAGACACCACCTGAACAACGATATAATATAGCACATGTTCGTACCAGAAACGTTGTAGAAAGAACGTTTGGCGTTTGGAAAGGACGGTTTCGGTGCCTAACTGGGGCCTTACAATGTAACATAAAAAATGTAACAAGGATTATTGCTGCTACAGCAGTGTTGCATAATATTGCGCAGGATATTGGGGAAGAAATCCCCAATAATAATGAAATTCCGAATGAAGAACGTATTGTGCCAGTTCTTCCTGCCGTGGATCGTCGAAGAGGGAATATAATAAGGAACGCTTTCATACAAAGACATTTCATGTAATAATTTTTAGTTTGTGTACCTTTGTACCTTTCATAATATATTAATTTTGATTACATTTCCTTGACTTTCTAAATATATTTTTTTAAAGTCCGTAATTATTAAAGATGTTCTATACTATTATCGTTTCCAGGTATTGTATTAGAAATAATAATGTAGAGGTAATGCAAAGATAAGTTTATTTAATTAAATTTATTACTTATTAATTTCTTTTTTTAATAATTCAAGTTCTAATTTTAATTTCTCCTTATTGATCTCATGCAATTCTGCTGCCTGTTGTCTTCTTTCTTCTATTTCTTTCAATTGTGCCTTATGCAATTCGTTGTCATTAATTCTTTGTTGCCTTAATCTCTTCAACCTCATCTCGGCCTCCTCTTCTAAGGCGCTGGCAACCTTCCTTAATACTCCTATATAACAAAAAATATAATATATTATTATACATATAAAATATAATAAATATTATAATAATCTAATTGGGGAGAATTTTATAAGGTGCATTATACCATCAAATATTATCAGTATTTTGTACCCATTATTCTCTATGCAACATTGCAATCTGGTGGACATCGAATTTACTACTCTTTCGCATACACCCTTGCCGTGAAACGATTCAGATTATCCCCGTTGCGAATCGGAAAAGTGACATTTTCATTGAACTGTTTTTCCATCAAAGCCCATAGATTTTCGATTGGATTAAGATCAGGTGACCGCGCTGGCCAGGGTATTCGCCTAACCTCATTATGATCGTCAAACCAATAATGAACAATCCTTGAAGAATGCACGGGTGAATAGTCTTGTACAATCGTGATGATTCCTTCTGGATACAAGGTTCTTATTGATGGTATCAAAACATCCTACAGCACTTCAATCGAATTAAATCTTTGATAATTGTGGACGTTATAAATGGATTGGCGGTGACGTATTCAGCAATTCTCCTTCGTTGAGCATTATTAAGAATAAGTCTTCGGCCTGATCTAGATGTTGTAAGGCCAATTTTTCCGTTTTCTTCAAATCTTACTGATAAGCCTACACGTTCGGCAATTTCCTATTTATCTATTCCTTCTTGATGAAGTGCAATAATTGCTTGCCTCGTAGTCAAACCTGACTCTCATTGACCAGGAACACGAGGCATGTTGTATTTAAGAAAACGGACAAATTTGAATGCACGTAATTTTGATATTGAATAATTCTATTTGTTTTATATTATATTAATTATATTACTGAGATTTTTATCTGACGTTTTATTTATAGAAATACTCTAAAATCATTTATTAGAGGAACATATAAAAAATCTTGTATTTGTTGTTCTTAAAAATATCAAAAAAGATTTAAAATAAAATAAAATTAACACATTTAAAAAAAGGGTGATCCATTCTTCGGCCCACTTCAAACTGGAACGGTTTTACCTGGGTTAAGGAAGAGGGTAACTTCCTTTAGGCTCAGAAATCGAATTGAATAGAAACAAAAGATGTCTCCGTCTTCTTCCAGTACCAGCGTTATGTCGGAGCTAACAGCGGACGATTCGCATTAAATCTGGACAGAGCTGTACATAGATTTAAAAAAAAATTGTGATGCACCGGAGGAATAAACGGCAACAAAGCCATCATATCCTGTTTTTTTAACTTCCCTATAGGTCTTATGTTAGTATAAAGTTTAACGTACGGTACGTTCTTTAAAGAAATAGGCCTTCCCTTTCTGCCAGTTGGCTTTATGTTTAGGACATCAAACTCTATCATGTCCTCTAATGTTTCCTTATACATTATTTTATAAGGACTCCCTTTCTGTATTCTAATCCACTGGATTTTCAACCAGTTTATACGTTTATTTTCAATATTGATTTTTCTGTTACTAACATTCCTCTTTAAATTTTCAGTAGAAAAAAAATCATTTTTATTCATTGTACTTATTATAAATTTTTTTTTATTTCTACAATTTGTCATAATTTCATACCAGTTTTCTGGAACGTAGATGACTTTTCCTTTTGCTGCAAGTTCTACACTGCCAAAATCAGAATCGTTAGGCAAAAACGAATGGCCCGGTACCAAAAACTTCTGGTCTATGACCTCGATGTTAGTTTCATCACTTTGAATAAATCTCATTAATGCCAAACACATATTAATGTTTCGATTTTGTCCTCCGCATGTATCGCTGTAAACAGTGACTTTCTTTTTATTGTTAGCATAAACTTTTAAGTGCTTTAATAGGCATGACGATATTTCTTGTGAGCCTCTTCCGGCAACTGTCTCATTCCATACGTAGAAAAACCCGGAATCCTTTGCAAAATCATGAACCCCAAAATTGTAGCAGTAAAGATTTCTTTTGTAATAAGCATCAGAAACCGTTAAAACTGGGAATGGTAAGGATTTTTGCAAATCTATACTACAAGCATAACATTCTTGATTGATTTTAACAATTTCAGCGTCATCTTTCATACAACTTCTAGCTAACTCAGCTTTCTTCAGATGAAATTCATGATCTCTATCGAGTACCGTCTTATCTTCTTGATTCAAATCTGGGTTAGATATTTTAATTTTGTAAATATCACACCTTTTACATGTATCCTTTTTCGGGCTATAGAAGTGTAAGTTGAATTTCGTATTGAAGATATACCGATAAAAATGTTCCTTGACTGGCTGCCTCTGGTTTTCATAGCATTTTTCGGCGTACAGCGCATACATTTTTCGCAGGCTCAATGATTGGCATAAATATTTTTTGTTTGGGTTGTGTTTCCTTGTGTAATGACTCTCGTATGAAGGAAATGACTGGATATGCTGCATAACGTAAGTTTTATCGTCTTCTGATATTTTCCGTTTAGGACAGCCTTTTAAGCCTCTTAGGTCATCTCCTGGAGTCTGACCATCGAGTGTTTTTCTTAAAGCTCGGGAAACTCTTCCCTCAGACACGTTAAACGTGCCAAGAAAATATTTCTTGCAAACCACAACTGATAAATTATTGTTTGGTTTTAAATTATATTGAAATGAAGCACTCCTCATAATGGCTCCTTCCTTTCTTGGCCTTCTTTGCTTCACTGAATTTTTACTTACTAAACCACATAAAAATGTATTTTGTCTTTTGAAATTTCCCATTTTCCAAAAAGCTTCAAACAACGACTTTCGCTCTACTGGCGTGATTTTGTCATTACAGTTCCTTTTGCAGGAACAGAGAGCATCTTGAAATGTTTTTTTCTCAATAATTTTACCCATCTTTGTAACGTATCGTTGCCCAAAATTTCGTGCTTGCTTCGCAATGTTTTGTTTGTGTAGGGAAGGATTTCGAATTCTTTTCCTACTTTTAGTTTTATTAGAATGTTCCATTTTTGTCGTTTCCTCTTCGTCTTCCGAACTAGACGAATAGGGTACAATCCTTAATGAAAGAAAAGTATTAACACCGTTGTTAGGCATCTGTCAATAATTGTAGAAATATCACTGAAAATTGTTGTGAGTAATAATTAACATAATATTTGCGTAACAATGTTTGACTTATGTCGTTGTCATTCTCAACAAATGTCAAGTATTGTAACAAAATGAATATTCGTGTTGCTCCTAGAGGTGAATTTCGACACAAATTGACTAAAGCGCATTTCATTCTAAATAAACCTATACCTAAGGATTGTAAATACGGACTTAACTCAATTTTTAAAATTTTATGACTTATGCCACTTTCATTCTCACCGGCTCATATGTAGAAATAATCTAGATACTGTATTTTCATATGTTATATAACAAGACGATCGAAAATACTCGATAATACGAAACGTATTGCCCCAAACACCACGAGACCGAAGGTCGAGTGATGTTTTTAAGGCAATACGTCTAGATTCGAGTATTTTCGATTATCGTGTAGTATATGGGTAGACTATTTCATGAATAAAAAATATGTATATTTTTAGAATTTTAATATTTGTAGTTGTTTACTAATAAATTACATTGATTGTTATGGAAACTTTCATGTATATCTTAAAATTATTTAAATGTCATACGAGCGATAATACAAAGATTCGTATTATCGTTCTTCATGGTTACAGCCAAATAACCGTTGAAATACTCGTAATTGACGGAAAACCGCGTATTCTTATTGGTTGTTTACGTTATAAATGAAATAGCCATTAAAATATTTAGACAGTTATTATTATATAACACAAAATTCCATAAAAAGTAAACACGTCGTATTTTATTAATATTTAATAAATAAATAAAAAATTAGTATTTTCGTAAGCGTATTTTTTAATTTTTAAAATTGATGTTAAATAAACAAAACACTGAAATGATCGATCAACTTTTTACGTGTTAAGTAATTGATAGTTTTATTTATTTTACTAAAAATATATCTTATCTCAAATATTTTTTATTTGCGAATTAGTTAACTTCATATTTCAAGAATAAGAAGTGTGTTTAATTTATTTATGTGCTTGTGCTCTTTTGCTGATTAAAGACTTTCAAATTAAGTAAATAAAATATTTCCTTAATATGAACATCATTAATGATTTAAGGAAATTTATGATATGCGCTTTATTTGACCTTGAAATGCAATAGTTAACTTGCATGTGTTATCTACATGAAGCGATAACCCAATAATAGCTGTTTTCTAATAATATAGGTGTTGAAAACCAAAAATAAAACTTGTAGTATAGGTTTTATTAAAAAAAACGTAGTTTAATAGGCAATCAGGATTTTTAAACATTAAATAATCAAACAGAATCCAACATTTATGATCTATATTTTATTCAAAATATGTATCGTTTAATAATCAGAACAAATCATCCTTCTACGTTTGGACATCCTTGTTGACTAATACCAAACATTTCCTTTTTATTAAACCCTAATTTTGTCCAAAAAGGCTCTACAAATTTTCTATAATAATTTTCCAAATATTTATGTCTTACTGACACATACACGAAACCTATGAATAGTAATTTATTTATCTACTAATTTTATTATTAGTAAGAATTATTAGTATTTCAGTAAATTTCAGTAAGTTAACCAAAAACAAAAAATAAACAAATAAAAAAAACCATATATTTAAAACTTACTTTGTTAAATGGGGGATTTATTGTAGGTACATGGCGACATTTACTCGAAACTTCAACATAAATAACATTTTTTATGATTACTAAAAGAAAAAGGTGGTTAATTGGTTTACAAGCCATTTTTATTGTAGAAGACTTGACATTGATATAATTTAAGTAAGAGTTACCTATTTATACATATTGCTGGCATAATTATATTTTTAATTGTCGTCAAATTGGACAATTTCCACATAGAAAGTATTTGTTTTCCTTTAAGTAAGATTGTTGAATAATTACTTATTAGTTATTAAAGGTATTTTCTGAGTGTCCTAATCATTTTATTTTATCCTCATTAGTAAGTTGTAATTTAAATCGTTTTAAATATTGCTTTTATTTCTTTTACAAAGTTAAGACTGTTTTTTTATATGATCTGATGGAAGTAACACCTTCATGAAGGGAAAACTAATTTTTGTTATGAGAATTTTCTTAACAAAGTTCAAACAGCACTTTTAGATTATTTAATTAATTTAAATATTTTGATTGTTAATCCCTTTTAGAGCTTCTGAAGATGATTTTTATTAGTCGAAACATGTAAAGCTGCATAATTAATATAAAATAACCAATATAAGTACAAAGAAATCATCTTTATTTTTATTAATTAATAATTATTGGTTAATATGGATTATGAATTAAATCAAAAAATATATAAAGTAAAATTAATTTGATACCGGAATAAATAAATTAAAAATTTAGGTTTATTTAACAAATGTTCATGGCCAAATCTAATTATAAATTTAAATTAACGCAACACACACTTTCATCACATTTACATCGCTACATCACTTTCTTTTTCCGTATTAGTTTTATTTTATATTAAAATAATATTTATTATGTATTACCTTAGTTCCATAGATTTCCACAATTAACAAATACAATGGAATATAAACATTATAACAGTTTTTTCTTTAACCTTATCTTATTATTCCTTCTTATTATCATTTATTTTATTAGTATTAGAATTAAAGTTAGGAAACAAAGTAATTTTAAAAAGTACCCTCTATGAGACGATGGCCAAAGTTTTAAAATGTCTTAATTTACCGATTCTAGGTAGATTCCTTCACACAATCCGAGTATATTGAGAAAATCGCACATTTTCACTTGGACTAGAAATGTACTAGAAATCTATTCCTATAATATATGTGCAAAAAATGACACCGTTCTTCCCTTTAAGTCTATAATTTACACATAAATCGCTTTTAAGGCAATGTTTAGTAATTTTTTATGATTAACATTCTAATTAATTATTTTAATTTTTTTAATCATTTCTGTAATTACATATTGCTTTTAAAAAATATATAAAAATATAATAGAAATTAATAATAAATCGTGCCATCTATTAATGGGAAACAAATCTGTCGTTGCAGTGACGCATGAGCTCTTTCGTTGACCTCGCAATACACGTACCTTTTATCTAGACGCATTCTACTTTCCATTCCATTCCATTCAAAGACATTCAGAGTACTGATTTAGAGTACGGTTGGTCTCAAAGAAGCTTGTTTTGTAGTGTTAACAGTTTTACCAAAAACAACGTTGTAGAAATGTCCAAAGATTTATTGGTTATGAATTATCATCGAATAAACACAAAAGAAGGCAGATTTTCAATTCTCCATTTCGAAGGTGATTAAGAACAAGTTATTGGCATGGAGGTAAGAATTTTTATAAAAAATTTATAATGAATAGAAAGTTTTATTATTTTATGATAGTAAATGCATAATTAAAATAAAATTAATAAAAAAAGGCTTATTTCAAGAATAGCATAGTCGCCTAAATATCGATTATAATAATAAATAATAATAATAATCTTTATTTAGCGCACAAATACAAAGAACCTTGGTAAATATCGAATTTCTAAAAAAACTTTTTATAGAAAAGTTGTTTAACATTTTGTTTTCTATAATAAGACATTCAATTGTTTTTATTTCAGAAAACAAATGAGTAATCACTAACACTTTAATTTTTTTAAATAGCAATGTAAACTTTCCTTAGGCTCATTTGATAGATTTGTTTTCTCTTTTCGATTATGTAACATCCTAGTAAACCTATGCTAGAAAATCTTTCAATAAAATTTAAAAACTGTTTATTAATGGTTATTTACGTAACCAGTTACTCACATAATTTGTAAAACGCTCGCTTGTTTTGGCAAAAGTTACGTTCGTCAAATAAAATTACACGTTTCATAACGTGTTAAGTACAAAATTTTATCTAATTCTATTGAAAAAGCAAGTTTTGTTCAAAACTTGACTTATTCTATTAGTGATAGATGTCAATTTATCAATTCGTAGTTAGGAAATTCATTACATCACTGGTTATACAAAAAGTTACGTTACATAACGTCAGAGAGATATGTAAAATTTAATTTTCATAGTGGAATTAGGTAAATTAAATTTATCTACGACTGCTTGGATAAGTCATCATTACCGCACTCATTTGAGGTGATTTGAGTTACGTAATGAAGTTCATTACCGCACTGGTTTCATTACGTAACGCATTTTTAACCTAGTCAGAACAGACTTAATTTATTGGAACGAGCAACAATACAAAAGAAAAAGTGGTATCTACTTACAGAGAAACAATTCTATTTATTATAAACATTAATTGTTATGTTTAAACATGATAAACATGTTAAACATGTTGTTGAAACTGACAATTCAAAATTGTCAACAATCATTTCAAAATTTTTTTGAAAATGTCAAATAGACTTTTTTAAAGAAATTGATTTTTAGTAATTTTTAGCAGTCGTAGATAAAATGCTGTATATCACAAGTGGGCTAGAGCATAATTACAGTACTCGTGTGATTGCACGACGAGGTCGTAGACCGAGTCGTGCAATTCTCCACACTCGTACTGTAATTATGTTTTTAGCCCCCTTGTAATATAAATAACTATTATCTATAACATGAATCTAGATATCTCAGATCTTTTTTTATTTGTCTTAACAATGTAGGCTATTAAATGTGACAGAATGTTGTTTATTTAAATTAGTTGGTAGATCAAAAATAAAAATGATTCATTTAATGCAGTGTTTCCCATCCTTTATTGTGCCTTGCCCCAACTAAATCTTTAAAAAATTGCTAGGTCCCCCAACATATACATAATTTTTATTATTCAAAAATTGAATTTTTTACGAAAGAAACTTAATAAGTTTTAGTCTCAAGTCTCGTTGCTTTATTATATCCAACCGATTTCGGTTTTTTAGCAACAGAGCGTTTATGGCACTAAATCCAAATTATTATTATTATTATATTAAATAAAGTTTTAAGTGAGTGATCATTCTGCATTTCTGCGAGTTCTGCGACTTTCTGCAAGCAAATCTACCAACATTGGTTGCATCATCCAGGTTGGAAAATGAATTTGTTTTAAATCTGAAAACATATCTTTTAAATCCGCCGATAAAATTTTCAAATGATCGACAATAAAATGTATAGAGGTATCAGTCGCACCACATTTTTTGAACCAATGAAAATTTTCAACATGTTGTAAATTTGTGAGTCAAACACAATAGTTCAATAAATGTAATGAAACAAAATATCTTGGCCTTTGCATCGACAAGAGTATTATTTGTTCCTTGGAGTTGTTTATTTAAAATATTTCATGTTTCAAAAATATCGGCTAGGTAACTAAGGGTATCAAACAGTTCCATAAATCTTTTCAAGCAGTTCCCTTTCGAAAGCCATCTTACTTCAATGTGAAGTATAAGCATCATATAAGCCGGGTTTATAAAGAATTTAACTGTAAATTTAAAGATTTAGATTTAAGGATTTTATTTAGCTTTAAGAAAAAAATTGATTTATACAGAATTTAAGATTTACAGAATCGCAACCTCAAGAAACAAAATATTACTGGTTTTTGTGTTGTCATTTTCTACTAATAACTTATCTTTATGTTCAGAACATTTTTTATCGTAAATATATCGGTAGTTCTCAACAACTTTAAATAATTTTCCATCGAATTCACTCATTTTGTTGGCACAGAAATAAATAACAGTAGAGGTTAGGTTAGAATGCGCTATTTACACCGGCCGATCATTGGATACAGCTGATTGAGGTCGTCTTGCGCATATGTGACGCTGTAAATTTAAAAAAGTTGACCAACTTTATGTTTACTGCTAAATCTTACAGCTTTGTATAAACGATACATGGAGTTGCAATAGATTTAACTCTTACAGCTAAATTTTTAAATTTAAATTTACAGCTAAATCGTCTGTATAAACCCGGCTATAGTCTTCATTTTATTCTTCACAAAATAACTTGAAGAGGCGTTCACGTTTGGCACTAGATTTAATAGCGTTATAACTGAATTTAATATTCGATTGAAAACAGGCGAAATGTTTTTAACTGCCAAGTTTTCCCTTTGAATAACATAATGAACGAGAAGCATTTCTGGATTTCATCTTTAATTAATTTTAGACAACCATTTTTCTTCCCCATCATATTAGGAGCACCATCTGCAGCACAAGATGTTATATTTATTGGAATGTTGACATTTAAGTAATGTTTTAGCTTACTATACAGGGTGTTCATTTCAAAACTTTCCACCTCAATTTCTGTAAATCCGGATGTTTAAAAAGAAAATCGCTGAAATAGGTAAAGAATAAAACCAAGGGGGACAACTTTTTATGCAAAAATTGACTCACTCACTTCAACCCCCCCGCCCCAGAAACCAACCCNGATACCTCATTTTAAAGGTCTTTTAAGGTACTACATGTTAGTATTTATTTTTTTTAAATTGATCGATTCGTTTTCGAAATTTTTGCGAAAATCTTTGTTTTGTATTTCCCGCTTTAATTAATATTAAAAACTTTAATCACCTTCTTAAAAGCAAGAATAAGTAATCTTTTATTATTAATTTATAAAATTAAATTACCATGTTCGTTTTTACAACGACCATTAAACCTTTATTATTTCGGAGCAATCGGAAATATTTAAGAAAACTAAACACGTATAATTATGAATTAAACTAAATTTTATTGAAAGTATTTTACATTAAACCTGTATGAAAATTACTCTTGACTCGAATGGCCAAAAAAAGGAAAAAAAGAGACGAAATTTTTCTCTTTCTATAAACGAGTTATAGGCAGGCTCACAGTGCGAGAAAAGAATAAAATAAAAGTGCAATTCTAAACATAAGTTTATTTGGTTATTACTTAAACAACTTTGTGTTATCCACTTAACAAAGTTATTTAAATAAAACAGCAATAATGGTTTACAGTTTGCAAGAAAGGATTGAAATTGTATTAATGTATCTATTATTAATAATAACAACGTTTTTGTGAAAAATATCTGCTTTAGTGATGAATGCACTTTTTCTTTAAATGGATTTGTAAATAAACATAAGTGTAGATATTGGAGTAATGAAAATCCTCATCTGACTGTAGAAGGGCATACACAATATCCTGAAAAAGTTAATGTATGGGCCGGCATTTTGGGAGACCAAGTGATTGGTCCAGTGTTTATCGATGGAAATTTAAACGGCGAAGTGTACATGTTAGAAAATACTATCAATCCACTAATTACGGAAGCTCTCGAAAATCAGTTGGATAGAGAAGAAAATGCCTTACTTGATGAGAATGAATTACATTTTCAACAAGACGGAGCTCCTCCTCACTATATTCTCCCAGTACGACAGTGGTTAGATAATACGTTTCCAAACAGATGGATAGGACGAAGAGGTCCTATAGAATGGCCAGCCAGATCACCAGATTTGACGCCATTAGACTTTTTTTTATAGGGTCATTTAAAGTCTGTTGTATTTACCCCTCAACCTCAAAACTTTAATAAAATTGTTGTGAAAATAAATTTCTATAAGTTTATATCTTACAAGATTAATTAAATGAATAAGAATACAGATTAAATAAGAGAATTTAAATAATGTTCCCATTTTGGGTACATATTTTGGTTGAAGTGAGATAGTGTTTACTAAATTGGTCGACAGGTTTTCTTGTTATAAATATATCCATGTTAAATTGAATTGAATTTTGTACTATTACTAATAGTATCATGTCCTAAAATTATTAATTAACAAATTCTTAACTAACAAATGTTTATAAATTGCTTGTAACGTTCTTCGAATGATTTTCTAAATCCAACAGTATATTACTTTTAGTTAAATTTTTTTTATAAAAGTTCCATTTCACATTTGTGTTTTACATTTCTTGGTGTTGAGACGCTTGTGTTAAACTACAACGTTGAATCCAAGGTTTCGATGGAGGTCATTTACTTTCAAACAGGTTATAAACAGCTCTCACCTTGGTGCAACTACGACTTTTGTTGCATTATTTTACATACTTCGTCGCAGAACTCACAAGTTATTATACACTGCCTCTTTAATAAACTCACCATACACACTGCACACCCATATTTGTAACTTTTACGAATTTTTACGATTCAAGAAGATGAAAAGAATTTCTTCTGTAACAATTAAAATAAAAAATAATCAATTAGACTGCTATTTTAGGACTATTTTATAACATTTCTGTTTGTTCATAAAATGAAGTTTCATTATTTTGAATACCAATATTTAATGAATTCATTATTTTTAAAACTAGAAGCATCGAACGTAAAATTTATTTTTAGACTGGCAAGTAGGTTGGGGTCAACGCCCAAACCGTCCAGGTGAGACTTTCATTTACATTCTGGGTATGGCCCCTCAAACATTGGCTTAGAAAGTTGTTTTCAGGCAGATCTGAATAAATTGATATGTTTTATTATATCTTTTATAATTTATATAAGCCTTTTTTTAAAATTTATTTTTGTTATTTTTCTTGTATACTGCTTTGAGGTTAATCCTGTTTGCATCCCAAATAAATAAATAAATTCAATTCCAGCGGCAGTGATTTCTCCAACAAAATGGCGCGCCAGCACACTATGCCGTTCCTGTTCGAGCTTATTTCAATCAACGGATTGTGGGAGAAGAGAGCCAATTGAGACCAATTGATCACCAGATTTGACTACGCCGGACTTCTTCCTTTAGGAATATCTGAATAGAGCTTTACACCATTGGACCAAATACTTTGGGTGAACAAAAAATCAGAATCCGAGAAGTTCAGCGAATAATTTTTGATACCTTAGGGAATTGTCAAGAAGAATTTAAAAATCGTTTAAATGCTGCCCAAGGTACACTACTTGAACATTTAACTTAATTTTAATGATTTATTTGATATTTATCATTAATCCGATTACTACTTGAAAAAATATCTAAACAAAATTAAATCTTTACACAAGTTTTAGAGATTTTGCAATAAACCGTTTATAATAATTTTTTTTTCCTATATCCCCTACTTTACGGACTATAATATTTTCGAAACTTTTTGATTTTTGGCATTAAACTATGTGACTTCCTTACAGTTCATAATAACCCCTTGGCATCATAATCACAGACAAACATTCGGAGATAAAATTTCAATGAAATTGCATAATCTGTAATGCTACTTTATTTATTACTAAAGTCAACTACTTGACTTGTTGTTGTAAAATTTATAAACGATAATAAAATGATGCAACCACATTATGTATTCATAAATTGTATGTCCTTCACATTTACATTTACCTCTAATTACAATCAAACATTTATATGTACAAGATATAAGATATGTTTTCTTTATCTAATATTTTTTTGTGTGTTTTAGGTGACGCCAACCCTCTAAAAGTACAGATAATACCGATTTGTCTCAGTTGTGCGCCAGTTAACCCTGCACTGAAATAAAAAATCACCTTCAAGAAAGTTAAACAACTATGGTTTTCCTATAGTCTAACTTTTGAACACAATTCCTCAGTTTAACAGGTAATAGTTTAATTCTTTTTGTTGAATTTGTTCATAAATTAATTAAGATAAAGTAATAATCTTTTATGTGTTAATGTTAGTGAGGCTTTTGCTATCGATTCGATTCATAGTCAGATTTGAATAGTATCAAGTACACGATTCGATTCTTAAGAATCGACTCCACTTTTGAGAATCGAGTCCGACTTCATTCGCAATATTCCCATGCTTTAAAATTAAACTCAAAAAATAATCTTAAAAATTAAAATTAAGGCTAAGAATCGATGCGCTTTTTTGAATTCGAGTCTGCATTGATATTAAATCAGTACCTGACAATTAAAGGGACTAATCGTAGAATAGCCGAAAATAGTACGATTTTTAACTTCAAATAATAATAAATTGAAATAATTCATCATTCTCATGCTCTTACTTCACAAATAAAGCTCGGAAATATCGGCATTTTTTAATATTAATAGTCTGTAAATATTCATTAATAGCATATTTTTATCAAAAATATTTGGATTATTTAGACTTAAAACAAAAGAATTCGTAATAATATGAACTACAAAAAATAAGCAAACTTATTATTATAATTTTTTCTGGAACAAATTTGAAACTTAAAAACCTATTAATTTATTAATCATCATTAGGAAATTCTGGGGCCTCTTTAACGTAAGATAAGTTCCTAAAGAAGGGTTAAAAGATTTTCATATTTGGCTTTACTTATAGGTTTTCTAGAATGTCTTAATTCTAAATGGGGGCTGTTTACAATTACGAATAAAATTAATCCAATCATTGCAAGTAAATATTGTAAATGGTTTAGTTTTCTTTTTTTCACGTTTAGTAACGCTATGCTGACAATCTACTTCCATATCAGTATGGCCTCATAATAAAAATTTATAATTTATAACGTCAATGCTGGGAAATACTTGCATTACATACATGTACATACATTACAATCATCATCATATTTCGGTTTTGTCCGGCACAGTTGTCAGTCTAAAGTGTTAATGTTTCCATGTTTCCATTTTTTAATTCCTTGGGATTTCTATAAGTAGCCATTTAAAAAAAACAGGAACCCATTTCATTACCACCTCTTCCAACCTTGATTGCATCCCACATCATACCGTAAAACGTGGTGTATAGGGACAGTCCGCCAACTTTATGAAGATGTTGCGGCTTTATTTTTTATTTTAATATTAGTTTCTGTGGGGCAAAAGTCCGAACATGGTATGTACTTTTCATACCCAAATAAAGGCATTTTAAAAAAAATGTTAAATGATAGTTTTTTTAAAAAAACTGCGTTGTCCCTTTTCGCCTGGAAATGTGCTGATTAGGGACGGTCATGTTATTCAGCTGTTATTCTCATTTAAAGAGGTGTAAAGGGCAACGTTTAGAAAAAAATATATCGTGTGATACCATTAAAATTCAATATAACATTTTTTTTTTATTAACAAACTTAATGATCTTGCGTCACAGTTAAAACACATATTTAGGAGTCAACTTGACAAGTGGTTGCTTTTCGAATGACTTTTATAAATAAACTAAAAAATATATTGCATAAAAAAAAAACTTTGTCCCGATTCACATGGAAGTCCCTATACACCTCGTTTTACGGTACCAAGTGTTTTTAGTACAAGGATTATGTATTGTGTAATTTAGGGTGCACAACTTTCGAATATCGCCCATTATCACTTGTAAATTTAATACATTACAGATAATTCATACATTTTTGAAATATTTAAGCCATCTCCAAGATACTTCTTAGCAGACCTTTCTTGAGAATAATAGCTTTCGTTCGTAGGGTAGCTGTCAATGTGCTTAGTGATTTTTTCCAAAACGTAAACGCCAACCACCCCTAAATGTCGTATAGGGTTTACTTTACCGCGTAAATCTTAATTTCCAACTAATTTATGGTTTTCTTCAAAATATTGTTCAACAGTGTAACAGTTTATCACATTATTCTTAAGGAAAGGGGTTATCTATCATTCCCCATAACATTGCCGGGGATGGTCAGAGGCAAATAAAAAACAACCCGACATTAATATTTATAAACGTACTATAAGATTATGTGTTCTTATAGTACGTTTAAAAATCCACAGGGTATCGCCAAAATCCACAGGGTAGTTTTTAAAATATTCCAAATTAATTAGGGGTAGTTTACCCCCTGAAGCCCTCTTATATATGTGTGATATATCAATGGCAAGCTCTGTGAAAATGAATATCAGTTTACATTTACCACATTTCGATAGCTATTTTCGTTTTCAGCTGCGACGTCCTTTTCTGGTTCGGTCCTAGGAAAGGGGTCTTGGTGCCTCTTTTTTTATGTTCGGGATGTTATCGGTCTCGGGCGCCACCTTATGTTTAGAGAGTTAAGGAACTCTTTCGCCTCCAAGTAGCTTTTGGGGGTTACAGTCGGAGATTCAGGGTGTTTGAGAGAGGGTTAAAAAAAATAAAAACATGCGGTTCATAAATTAAGAAATAAAATCAAAGTTTATTAATAATTAAAAAAAAATCAACATAGGAGTTTACGGAGGAAGGTAAAAAAAAATCTTTATTTAAATATGTATATAATCGGTAAATGTCTGGCCTAGTGCAATCTTGTGGGACTCGTACTTCGGACGTAATTGAAATAATTATTCATAAGGGAATAATTGGTCTGGATGAAGTGCTACGAAAAATTCGCGATAGCACCAGGTCGGGAAGATGTTGCGGAAAACTCGCAGCAACACCAGGTCGGGGAAAGTATTGCGGAAAATAAAATCAAAGTCCCACAATTGCAAGACCAAAAAGAAACTTACGATGAAACTCGGTTATTTCCAAAACTCGGAGATTTTTCGGTGAAGTCTGGCGAACTTCTTGAAGACGGTTGATGACGGCTGAAGACTCTTGAAGACTGTCGAAGACTAATCCAGAACGGTCGAAGACTGATCAAGACAGTTGAAGACTGATTCTGACAGTTGAAGACTGGTTGAATGTGAAATTTTGACCGGCTACTTATACTTGTTCGGGGTGAAAACTGGATTTTTCCGAGGTGGGGATCGTATTGAAACAAGTTATCAAAACTAAATTATAATGTGCGGGGCTAATTAATGACAATAGCAAAATTTTAACGGCGTTATCGGATGCGGGGTACAAAATTAACTAAATCCCTTTTTTGAGCGGATAAAATTTATTAAGGAATAGCGGAGTGATAATTAATTAAAAATAATTATCGGAAAAATTTATAACATAATTCAAAAGATGCCCTTGTTTATGTGGAAATTTACAAAAATATAATTAACAAAATCGGTTAGCGTTTACGGCACTTACCTACATAAACGTTTTCCCGACCGCGTGTTTCACGTTAACTTCGATTAATCAGTATTAATGAACGCGCACTTCAACACAAAGTAGCTTCAGCAGTTGGGCGGTGTCCGGGGCAATCCTATACGGGTAGTATTTTCCATGGATGACCATCAGGAATGAAGTAAATTAATTAATTAAGATGCGGGATGATTTTGGTTAATAATCATGTTAATCATAATCGGATCGTCTTTAGAATCATTCAACGGTTATTTCATGATACTAGTAATTGTTTGAAATCGGTTTGATTGTTCTACGATTTCTAATTCCGCATCATAAAAAAAATAGTCGCTGTACGGTAGCTGAACGGTAGCTCGCTGGCTGCTGAAACTCACACGGGACGGTCGGCCTTGTTTACAGTAACACCCTGATTACTGATTACTGATACTTCTTCGTATTTTACTTCGTTGCGGTGTTATTTAATTATTTTAAATAACAATTTTCAGAAACCATGTGCTTTCGGTAATTACGTCGTTTGGCGATTTCCACTAATTGCTTTTGTTTATTTGAAATTCGGTCAGGAAACGTTTTCGGAAAAAGGTTTAACGGTTTTAAATGAATTAACATGAAAATTTGAAGTTTAATTAAGGAAATTAAGGAATTAAGGAAAATGCGAATAAAGTTGCATAAGTGGGTGGTGATAGGGTATCAATTTTTGGATTTTTCTAAATCGGGCGGAAACTGTAGGAGGTCGGGGTAATGTGGGAAGTATATTCGGATGTTATAAATTTTTCGGAAAAAAAAAAATTTAACTTCGTTACACAGCCTATAAGCGAATATATATATTTCGCCCCGATTTCCAACCCTTATAATTCGCCCCCTCTTAATAATGATGCGCATCTTTCACCTTTCACATAAATCTTGTTCATTAGAAATAATTCTTGAATATTTAATTTTTTACATACGTTAAAAAGGTTTGTCAACGACGCATTTATTGCTGACGCTGATCTAGGATCCCATTTTGTATGTAGAACTTCTTTATTTTCATTTTAGATAACGTTATCTCTTTTAAAATACAATGGCATGTTTCGGGTTTTTAATCCATTCACCACACCAGGGTGATCAAACCTTTCATGGAGTATTAGAACAAATTCCATGGTGTCATTTTGCCGTTTTGTTTTGATGATTGACGTAGTTGGTACGATTTAACCTAAACAGGTTTTGTTGATGTTTGTAAATGAATTTCTTCTTTGTAAAGATTGGTGACTCTGAGCGTGTCGGATTCCAATTGAAACACATCCGCATATTTTGCAAGAACTCTTTGTAGTATTTTCTGTTAAAATGTTCTGCTGCTTTCTGTATATAGTATTTTCCTATTACTTTCAATCCTCGTGGCAAAGAAAAAAAGTCTTTCTACTGGTGCCGACGAAGTTAAACAAGTGTTATATTTGATTGATACCTTTTTTAGGGTTGGGTAGTCATTTAAGGCTTGTAAATTCCTTCTTCTGTCTTCCAAATACCTTAAAAATTCCAACTGGATTTTTGAAAAATCATCTAAATTTTCATCTTATTCATTGTAAGCTTTCAATTCCATTTGTTTTTTCGCCAAACTTACAATACATTTTTTAATTTCCTCTATGGTTTTTTTTTTTTTGGATTTTTGACTACGTTCACTACGTTGTACCATTTTAGCTTAAATTTGGGAAGAAGAACTGTAGCTATTATTGGATCATCAAAATTCCAAATTTAAAATGTTAGCAAAGCGAGTATTTAAGGTTTTGATGCACATTCTAGCTAATGTTCTCCTCCATACTTCAGTTTTGTTTGAACAATAATTTTTTCATATTTGTTAATTAGCGAAATTAAGCTGGGTAACAAATATCCAAATGAAACATTTTCTTTGCCTTGCAACAAATCTAACGCTAACGCCAAAGGTTTCATTACTAAGCAATATTCTTGCAAGTACAATAATTCAATTTGTTTAAACGGTTCTAACCCTAAATTTTGCTGCAAGATTGAAAGTTTATCTTTTTCTTGGAGAATCTGCGAAACTGCATCAAAAGTTGAGTTCCACCTAGTTGCCTTTGGAGAACTCTGTGTATGTCTTAATATTTTTTTATATTTTCATTACTATTTTGTTGATTCGCTTTCTTCCATAATTGGGCACATTTACTAAATGCATTCTTTTCAAATTTCAAATGTATGTCTTTCAACATTTCTGCGATGTTTCTGTAGGAGTGTGTACCTGTAAATCTAAAATAAAAATAATAATAAAATTTTGATTAATATTACATATATACACTGGGTTTCAAAAGAAATGAACCACCCCCAAGGAGGAGACGCAGAACTTCAAAATTACGTAGAAATAGTTAGTGCCTAGAGACAAACAAATGATTAAATTTTCATAAACAAATGACAATATTTATTTACAATATCGTTAATAATGTGTTGCATCTCTGCGTACGTTTATACATTCATCCGTCTTCGCACGTATCTTAATAGAACTAAAACGAAACCTTTAACGTGCATGAACATGTTAACACGAGGGTTGTCCCGACGGCGCCTATGATGTCAGAAGCGTCAATCCTCCAATTCTACCGGTTTTTTCAATAGATAAGTTGCAATATATACATACATATTCCGAAAATGACATATTTAGGTTGCCCACGCAAAAACAAACAGATAATTTGACTTAATGGTGTTAATTAAACTAAAACTAACTTCAGAAACAAGTACGAAGTCACTCTGTGCAAGCATTCACAATAATTACTTTTCCTAATATTTATGAAGTATCGAATAGATGTGCATATAAATTAATGAATTCCAAAACTTATTAATTAATTACATGTTTTTCTTTTTGTTTCAGCTTGCGTGCAAATTTCATGGATTTAAGATGCTCAATCATTGTCAAACTAAAATGGAGCCATTACATCGATAGTGAATATTTTGTCTCATATTCAATGGAGCTTTCTTCAGTGGGTCTGTCAAATTAACTTCGAAACATGCTTAATTGATGCTGAACTTGACTTTCTACTGTCACATGTGGGTTATTATCAGACCAACATAAATTTTTATATTGTTTTCACAATGTCCTGCTGAGATATCGTAATGATTTCATATTTGTGATATGTCATTAGGAACCAGTCTTTTATGGCTGTGCAATGGATAGGTACGCAAACGTTCTTCCAAGAATAATTGCCAGAAAGTTTGAATAATTCTTTGTGGAACGTATGTGTACGTGCAACTTCTACATTTTGGGATCTGCTTTTTTGATTAAAATTCCTGAAATGTAACTCTCAATTATAAGTCTGCTTTTTTTTCTGTACACTGGAACTCAAACATTAATAATATAAGTTTCTCCCAATGTTTTGAATGTTAAGAATGTCATGATGTTCTCATGCTTAAGTCATGATGCTCAATGTCTATAATAATTATTTGAAAAGGACTCATCTTGACGAAAGAGGTTGAGATGAGATACACAGACTTGTTCTCTATAACTGCAATAGTTTCAGATTCCGATTTTTTGTTGAAAGTTAAGATTATTTTTTTATACAGTTGTAGTGTACCCAGGTTATGTCAGAAAAACATTAACTATTATAGTCGACATTATCAAAAACCAACAACAATTAAGAACAATGAAAAACTTTAACTATCCAATTGCCTTTGCTCTGAATAATATCATTTACATGTATAGTTATGATTACAAATTATGTCGATCAAAATACAATAAAATATGTGATAATCTTTAATACCACCATACAAAAAACATAAAAAAATGTATTATACAGTGGTTCCAAGTCAAACTCGAACATTGCAGCTTTTATTACTAAAAATGTTCAAGTTAAAACAGTTAAAAAAAAAAAGTAAATTGAAACACTAATGAAGTTCAACCTATTTGTTATTTCTTTGTTGTTTTTTTTTGTTCACCAACCTGTCTTCTGTTTTATAAAGCGTTGTACCTAAGTGTGGGATGCTTTAAACAGTGCAGATATAATTTTTTTCGTTTCTTGGGCTATACTAGTTCTTTCTTGGTAATAGCGCAAGCCGGATTTCGCCCGTTTTTTTTCTGAATACACTTCCTGTATTCATGCCCTTCCTGTGCGCTGTATCCACATAGTTTGTTATTTTTGCATTTGCTCTGAATATGGCCATATCTCTCTTTCTTGGTAATAACAAATTCGCTAATTTCTGATAATTTTTCTTTGTATGTCCCTTTCTCCTCAATGTATTTTGAATTATAACCAAAGTCCATTATACTAGTTGATTAAGAAAAAATAAATTTGCAAACTGTTATGTACTTTAACTAGTCTTTAATTGTTGATTAGGTAGTTAGTCTGACTAAATATCAATAATTGACAAGACGTTCAACGTTCTGTGTCTACATATGAAGTCAGTTTATATAGACACGATTAGTTTCCTTCAATATATTCTACCCATCTTTGGAATTGTTTCTTTGACGCTATTTTTTGTGTCTATTTTGCATGGTTTTTAGTTTGGAGTATCCTTTCTTGCCATTTATCCAGAACTTAATTAGACCATTTATGGTTAATGGTGAATGTGCATGTTTTGAACATGCACCTCCCTTCTGACCACTGCCGAGTCAAACACAATACTGTTCACCTACGAAGATAAAATTAAAGACTTGCAAAAACGATTATAAATATAAAGTGTGTTGATTTTCACCTCCAGCGAGGCAACTTTCCGCTCTAAATTGAGCACCCTTCCGACATTAATAAGAATTACCACCGAATAATTCACTATGTCTTTTAAATTTGTTTTCTAATAATATATCATTAAAATTTATAGTTAGAAGCGATAATGTTTGTGCTGAAACATATATTTCCTCGGTCATTATACAGATATCTAATCTTTTCAATGAATGACAATAAACTGAATCAAAAAATTAAATAATTCTTGTAAATATGTAATTCAGGTTTTAATAAAATTTGAGATAACATAAACTCAATATATAAAATATACATATAATATACAATATAATTCAGAGAATACCATTACATTTATCAATCATCTAAATTAGATATAATCCGCTCTATAGGAGCCAAAGTTAGTTGCAATTCAGTTATAAAATACTTTATCTTTTTTAGTTGCGGTGAATCTTCAGAGGTAGTAAGTACACAACTGAATTTTCTTCTAATCACTACATTGCCACAAACAGATTTTTGTAAATGTTTCAAAGATGTACTTAAATTGTATTTTATGGATTCAATTTCATGTTTAAATACTTATTATTATACGTATTACATTCTCTTGTTCGTCACTGAAAATGGTTAACAGGGCGGATTGCATTCCTAGGATATACATCTTGTTTTCAAATTTTAACAAATTTTGTAGAATAGTTGGAGTTTGTGATATACGACCACAATTAATTGCTTTTGTTTCATTACAAGGAGGTTGAATGCAGATATTTTTAATAATATTAACTTTAGAACTAGATCCCCCAACGTTTGCCGACGAATGTGGTTGTATATCAGTAGATTTTACCCCACTAATAATTAATATTATTTGATGTAAAATTTTTCACATTTTCCTGGCTCGCAACTCTGTGTCATGTATCTTCCAATGGGGCATTTCTTCCTCCGTGTTGCTTATATTGATTTTGTTAATCTGGAAAACCCTATTCTGGAGTGTCTACGAATGGGTTTTAAGAATCTCCTGTTTCCATTTCACTTCACATTCTTGAGAAATTTGAATGAGATGTGGTCTCATTATTACTCGATTTTCTTCTCTTCGCATCTTGTTGCGATGTGTTCTTCCGTTTCTGGATTGATGGCAATATTCGTTTGTCGATTTGGAGACTACATTGTCCGTTTTGGTATCGGTGTTTTTTGATTCTGGAAAGAGCGTCGGCGTTACTATTCAGGTTTCGTTTTTTATATACGATCTTTAAGTTATATTCCTCTAACTTGATTCTCCATCGCATGAACTTTGAGGCATTAAATCTACTCGCAAGAAATTTAGATAACATGCTGCTGTAAGATTTTTTTGAAAAAAGAAAGGCCCTATGGAACGCCGTCCGATTATTTCCATCCATACATTCACTTTGCCTCGACGTTGACTGTGGGTCTTGAGTCCAGTGAGGATTTCCTCGTGACTAATATCTGGGGTTGTGACGATGTACTGTTCCATTCAGGCAAAAAGTGGCTTCAGCAGAAAATAGAATGTTGTTAAGAAAATTAGGATCTTCATCGCATCGTAACATTAATTGTTCACAAAATTGTAAATCGATCTGAATCATCCTCGTGTAACTCATGTATCAATTACGCTTTGTACGGATGATACTTCTCTTCTTTGAATAATTTTACCACAAAAGATTGGTCCACGTTGTTATTTAGGGCTAGTTGCCTTGTAGAATGGCGAGGATTTTCTTCAGCTTTAACCAATACATTCAACCTGACTTCTTCACTTACTCGAGGTCGACCTTGTCGAGGCAAATCTTTTACGGATCTCGTTTCTGTGAATTTAGCAATCAATTTACTTACTGTAGATGTTACAATTGGAGCCCTATCCGGATGTTGTTGGTTAAATAACTCGCATGCTTCTTGATGAGTTCTAAGCCTGTCGCCATATCCAACCATCATTAATATCAATATTCTTTCACGTTCGGTTAAATGTGCCATTTTTGTTAACTTGGAATAGAATTACTTTAAGAAGTTCTACACTTTCACCACTACGAGTATTAAGAACTTGATAATAAGCAAACACAACTTTAATTATTTTATTAATTGAAATAAATTGACCTGTCCGAGCGTTTTTCTTGAAAATATTAAATAACGCAGTTAGGAATTATGTTCAAAACTTTATCATCACACGGTATACTATGGGATACCGTTTATGTAAACAGGTTTTTAAGTAATATCGATTGAAAGAAGCGTAGAAGTTTTCCTTATGATAATATATGGGATACATTTAATACTAAAATAAGAATAATATAAAATTAACTTATGACTAACTAAAATTATTGATTTGATCACTGAAAAAATGAAAATGTGAAATTATATAAAAGTAAATAAAAATCAATAACTTACAATAAATCCTCCAGACGCTATTCCTCAAACGTCGGTGATGCTAGGAGCATCACTGAAAAAGTGAAAATGTAAAATCCACTGTTTCAAAGTAAATAAAAAATCAATAACTTACAACACACGTAAAGCTTATCATCCTAGTCCGGATCCCTCGATATTCTTAACGACCCCCCAAGAAAAGGGCCGCAAAAAATTAGGCCTACCCCCATATTTGCATCAGTGTCATCTCAAAATCAGACACTTCGTGGATTATAGCCTGAAAATAATATAAAAATAAATTTAAAATTAAACGAGTATGAAATTAATACTTACATTTTTCCATATGGCATTACAAATTTCGAATACAATATGTGGCAAACTCATCTTATGATTATTGTAAGAAAACTATGTTGCTTAAAAGCGCATTTATCCCCTTTATACAGGGTGATTCATAAGTAATGGGCCAAATTGTAAATGTACGTTCAGGAGGCCAAAATAATAATATTTTCATTAACAATAATGGGTCTTAGTCTGCTCCTTACTGAGATACAGGATGTTAAAGCGAAAAAAATAAAATAGATTTTTGTTAATAGATCAGCTACTTTTCTACATAATGACTCATAGTTGACTTATAGTTTTTGTAAGGGTAAACAATAATGTGTGAGAGGATTTGAGTTAACTCGTAGATGTCGCCACATGCGCCATATGAATTAGATGAAATCAGCTACAAATTTTTTATCGCTCATTATTTTACAACATACTTGTTTAATTTGGATAGCCCCATCATTTCTGTAGAAAAAAGCTATACTTCTTTGATCTTGAAAATATTAACGATTTTCGAGATATTTGAATTTTACTAATTCACTACACTACATTTCACGGTGGTCGACGTAGCATTAATCTGTTAAGACANAAATTCAACTTCTGGATATTCCGAAAAAACTATGTAGCATAAAAGTGCATTTTCCTCTTTATATACTATGGGATACCGTCCATCCAATACTTCGTATGAAGTTATATTCTCATCACTCAATAGTCTAAACGCGCACCACATATCTTCCGTTTCTATTAAATCTATAAATTCAAATTTGTTTATTGTTTTGTGTTGCATTCGTACAACTTTTTCCATGTTTTGAAATTCTTTATTTTGGAAAAAGTCCATGTTCAGTTTCAATGTATGTAATCCATACGCACACTTCTCCACTTTCATCATTCCCATGTATTTGGGAGAATAAATAAAAAAGTTTTATTAAAATTTTAAAGTTTTATTAAAATTACATTACACTTTATTTAATGTTTTTTTTAATGTACCTGTACAATTGTGGATCCCTGAATAGGGCACATTGAATCTTGTGAGGCAATCTATATTTAAATGTTTCAAACTGAACACACCATACATTCACATTTTCAAGACAATGTTCATGTGTGCCTAATTCATACCAATTCTCATCACTCAATAGTCTATTCCGTGAAGAACGAAATGTACNGTCTGTAAAGGTGGGTCTTTCGGGTCCGGCCGTTTTTTCATCCTGTTAATGCACTTAAAAAATTTTATAAACAATTCATGATAATGTTCGAAACCTTCAACTTGATAAATCAATCATAAAATTATCGAAAAATTTATTTTTGCATACATATTTTTTTATACAAATGAAGAAATTCAGTTAATAAGAGTAATTTACTAAAAAAATCATAACTTTTGAAAAAGTAAGATATCGAAATTTTTGAAAAGAAAATTGATAATGAAAATAATGCTAATTTTTACAAAAAAATATTTTCTTTTATTTATTTAATATTAAGTGCTTAAGTTTGTACAGATAAAATAGACAATAAAATAAACGTTAGGAATTAGTATTATTTTATTTGTTCTAATTTTAATGTATTTATTTATTAAGTATATCAGTATTTTTTATCAAAAAACTATTAAAGCATATTAACCAAACATTAAACAAAATTATTACTTCTTAAGTAAAAAAAACTATTGTACACAATGAGCACAACAAACGCAACGATGTTCCTCACAGACAGGTTTTTGACACTTTATGCAGCAATACCCCGTTTTTTTATCTTTATCGCTTTTACAAAAATGACATCTCTTTCTCTTCGTTAGTTTATCTGTTTTTAAGATTGGATTGTCAAACTCATTCAAACCTAAAATCTCTATGATGCCATTGACTATGGATTTGTGCATTCCGTTCGTCGTTAAGCGATCTTGTAAATGTGGTTTTATAAGTGCAAGAGACAGTTCTTTTAAAAACTCTCTTTTATTTTTATTTTCATTTTCAGGTAAAAAATTATATAGAATGCACCCATTAACACTGGCCTGATCCAACATGCCCAAAAAAAAGCGCATTGGCCAGCGGCTGGTTGTACGGGTGCAGGAATAATTTCCACAAAGCTGGTCAAAGACATCTGTACCACATTTGTTTTTATTATAAAATTCTATAATTTCCGGCTTTCCATTATTTTCACACGCTTTTCCGGTTTTATGCATTGACGACAACAACAAAACAACTTTATTTTTCTTTGGGCAATACGAGAGTAAAATGTTCTGCCCGTCGTAACCATACCTTGCAGCGCCGATCGAAACATTTCTTTTGAATGATTCCGGAATTTGACGCTTATTTTTTCTAAGTGTGCCTACCATTGATATATTAAAATTTTTTTTCATTTTGTTACAAATCTCAACTGAAGTGAACCAATTATCGCACGTAATATTTCTATGGGTGTTATGAATTGGTTCACTCAATTTACGCACGTAATAGGAAGGAACACTCTCACCTTGTTCTGTCTGTACTTTTCCAGTGTACGGTATGGCATTGTACATATAAAAAGTTTTTGCGTCATTCATGGAAACTATTTTGATTCCATACCGCGCCGGTTTTGATTTTATATAAACACGTCCCGAAAAACGTCCACGAAACCCTAATAACTGTTCGTCAATAGTTAAAAACTGGCTCGGAGTATAGTTATTTTGGCAGTTCTGTATAAAAATATCCCAAATTTGACGAATTGGTGCTAGTGCGTCTTCAAGGCGTCTTGCAGATCGTGTAGCCTTGTCATCAAATCGAAGCCGACAACTAATAAATTCGAATCGTCTTTGTGACATTGTCGCTTTATGCAGTTTTGATCCAAACTCGCGCGACCAGATCTCCGTTAAATTTACACGATTATTGTTTTGCATGCCGCCAAAATATAGGAGACCTATAAATGCCTTCAACTCGTTTAAAGTAATTGGTTGGAACGATGCACAATCATTGTTGTCCTGTATAAATCGCTCGATTTCGGCGTTAGTATATTTCAAAACAATGTTTAAAATGTCCTGAGTGAATAATGTGCTCCAAATTTCTAGAATTGTACGTGATCTTGCAGCCGCACCAATGACTTTAGGCAAAATGATAGTAATATTTGACCTACGGCCTCGAGATTCTGGCGTAGTGAGACACCATTGATGCTTATCCTTCCCGTAAACAAATTTTCGACGTCTGCTTCCTTCTACAGTCTCTGGCTCATCCTCAACTACACTTTCGTCTTCTTCCGATTGTTTATCTGAAACATGACTTTCACTATCATCACTGTCAGCCTCTTCAACATTATCGATTTCTTCTTCACTGTCTTCGCCTCCAAAATAAGAAATTATTGGACGTTGGCGAAGTACGCGCGCTACGTCGTCAGCCGATCGTTGTGCCATTTTGAGTTATAGCACTGAGAAAAATTTGTTTGATTGTTTTTTTTTGTAGTCAAAAAAGAACGTCAATGCAAAAAATAAATTTTTCGATACTGCTTTAAAAGTTGACGTTTACACAGTACTTAGCAACTGTCAAAACAATTGTTTTTTGTCCACAGCACGCTACGTCCTATATGTAAAAGACTTTTACGTCCAGCTACAATAATCAAAGAATTTGATACTGAATAAATTACAAACGCAAAATAATTAACATTTTATTGTTTTATCATTTCATATTTAAATGCAAATTTATAATAGTATATTTGTGACATTTAAAATTCGCTATCGCTCGCAATAGCGCTCGTTCTCGAATGTAAAAGTTTCATTTCACTATCTTATATCAAAAATAAAAATTTTCACTTTCCTGCGAGATCAGTATACGCCGGCTGTAAACCTGGGTCTTTTGTGTTCGCTACAGATTTAACCTGTTAACAACAACTGTACAACAGAAAATGAAAACTTTAACCTTGTGCGTTCATCACCTATCACACATTACCTTTTTTTAGGTGGGGGTCCGAACTATGTCTATTCACTTCTTAGAAAATTATTTGCCTAAACAGTTGTAGCTCGGACACGAAATACCCAGGTTTACAGACGAAGGGTTAAAAACTCTTGTAAGTCATAAATTGAAATTGATAAAACAAGACACCCAGAATAAAAGTGGTTCGCAATGGGTCAGAAACTAATCATCCATAACATTTTCAAACCAAGACATATTCATGTACTAAGCACAAGCGCAACAACTCAAGAATCGCAATTTGGAGAATTATTGTTATTAAAATCTGTTGTAACTTATAAACTAAAACTGATAGAGAAAGACATCTAGAACAAAAATGTTTCGTAATGGATCAGAAATTAACTATCTATAATATATCCAAAGCTAGCCATATCCATGTACAGGTACAAACGCAAAAACAGAAAAATCGCAAATTTGAGCATTATTGTTGTTGAAATCTGTTGTAACTCACAAACTAAAACTGACAGTGAAAGACATCCAGATCAAAAATGTTTCGTAATGGATCCGAAACTAAGTATCCATAACATATCTAAAGCTAACCGTATCCATGAATTAGGTACAAACGCAAAAACAGAAATATCGGAAATTTTAGCATTATTGTTATTAAAATCTGTTGTAATTCATAAACTAAAACTGATAGTGAAAGACATCTGGATCAAAAATGTTTAGTAATGGATCAGAAACTAAGTATCCATAACATATCCAAAGCTAGCCGTATCCATGCATTAGGTACGAACGCAAAAACTGAACAAACGCAAATTTTAGCATTATTGTTATTAAAATCTATTGTAATTCATAAACTAAAACTGATAGTGAAAGACATCTGGAACAAAAATGTCTCGTAATGGATCAGAAGCTAAGTATCCATAACATATCTAAAGCTAGCCATATTCATGAATTAGGTACAAACGCAAAAACTGAAAAATTGAACATTTTAGCATTATTGTTATTAAAATCTGTTGTAATTCATAAACTAAAACTGATAGTGAAAGACATCCAGATCAAAAATGTTTCGTATTGGATCCGAAACTAAGTTTCCAGAACATATCTAAAGCTAAGCGTATTCATGAATTAGGTACAAACGCAAAAACAGAAAAATCGCAAATTTTAGCATGATTATTAATAAAATCTGTTGTAATTCATAAACTAAAACTGATAGTGAAAGACATCCGGATCAAAAATGTTTCGTAATGGATCAATAACTAAGTATCCATAACATATCCAAAGCTAGTCGTATCCATGAATTAGGTACAAAAGCAAAAACTGAAAAATCGCAAATTTTAGCATTATTGTTTTTAAAATCTGTTGTAACTCATAAACTAAAACTGATAGTGAAATACATCCAGATCAAAAATGTTTCATAATGGATCAGAATCTAAGTATCCATAACGTATCCAAAGCTAGCCGTATCCATGCATTAGATACAAATGCAAAAACTGAAAAATCGCAAATTTTAGCATTACTGTTTTTAAAATCTGTTGTAACTCATAAACTAAAACTGATAGTGAAAGACATCTGGATCAAAAATGTTTCGTAATGGATCAGTAACTAAGTATCCATAACATATCCAAAGCTAGTCTTATCCATGAATTATGTACAAACGCAAAAGCAGAAAAATCGCAAATTTTAACATGATTATTATTAAAATCTGTTGTAATTCATAAACTAAAACTGATGTGAAAGACATTCGGATCAAAAATGTTTCATAATGGATCAGAAACTAAGTATCCATAACATGTGCAAAGCTAACCGTATCCATGCATTAGGTACAAATGCAAACACAGAAAAATCGTAAATTTTAGCATGATTATTATTAAAATCTGTTGTAATTCATAAAATTAAACTGATAGTGAAAGACATCCTGATCAAAAATGTTTTGTAATGGATCAGAAACTAAGTATCCATAACATATCCAAAGCTAGCCATAGCCATGCATTAGGTACAAATGCAAAAACTGAGAAATCGCAAATTTTAGCATTACTGTTATTAAAATCTGTTGTAACTCATAAACTAAAACTTATAGTGAAAGACATCCAGATCAAAAATGTTTCGTATTGGATCCGAAAGTAAGTTTCCATAACATATCTAAAGCTAACCGTATCCACGAATTAGGTACAAACGCAAAAACAGAAAAATCGCTAATTTTAGCATGATTATTAATAAAATCTGTTGTAATTCATAAACTAAAACTGAGAGTGAAAGACATCCGGATCAAAAATGTTTCGTAATGGATCATAAACTAAGTATCCATAACATATCCAAAGCTAGCCGTATCCATGCATTAAGTACAATCGCAAAAACTGAAAAATCGCAAATTTTAGCATTACTGTTATTAAAATGTATTGTAACTCATAAACTAAAACTGATAGTGAAAGACATCCCGATCAAAAATGTTTCGTAATGGATCAGTAACTAAGTATCCATAACATATCCAAAGCAAGCCGTATCCATGCATTAGGTATAAACGAGAAAAATGAAAAATCGAACATTTTAGCATTATTGTTATTAAATCTATTGTAACTCATAAACTAAAACAGATAAAGGTAGACATACAGAACAAAACCGTTTGTATTGGATTAAAAACTAACCATCCATAACAAATTTAAACCTAGCCATATTCATGTACTAGGTATAAACGCAGCAAGTCCAATGTCGTGAAATTATGCTTTGTTACTACTGAAATTTTTTGTAGCTCATAAACCATAGCCAGCAGAGAAAGACATGCATAACAAAAACGGTTTGTAATGGATCAGAAACTAACCATCCATAACAAATTCAAACCTAGCCATATTCATGTACTAGTTATAAACGCAGAAAGTTCAAAGATGCGAAATTTTGCTTTGTTGCTATTGAAATCTCTTGTAACTCATAAACCACAACTAGCTGAGAATGACATCCACAACAAAAACGGTTCGTAATGGATTACAAACTAACCATCCATAGCAAATTTAAACCTAGCCATATATTTATGTACTAGGTATAAACGCAGAAAGTTCAAAGTCGCGAAATTTTGTTTGTTCTATTGAAATCTCTTGTAACTCATAAACCAAAACTGATAGAGAAATTTTGCTAGAACAAAATTGGTTCATAATGAATCAAAAACTATCCTAACTAATTTAAACCTAGCTATATCGATATATTAGGCACAACGCAACAGGTCCAAAATGTACAATTTAAAATCTTTTGTAACTCATAAATCAAAACTGGCAGAAG